TTCTTGTAGAGGACGACGAGACCTACAATTTCTGTATAAAAGTTTGTCGCTAGCATTAATAGTTAACGAGTAATTTGCAAAAAACTGTTTTTTCGTTTTTCGTCAATAACTCGTAAACTATTAATGCTAGCAAAGAATTTTTATACAGAAATTGTAGATCTCGTCGTCCTCTACAAGAAAGGTTGTATGCAATTTTCCCGTAGAACTAATGGTTTGGGAGTTATTGAAGAGAAGCGAAATTTTTTGTCAAAAGTTCGTCATTTCGACGCTGGGATGGTCGGATTTTGTCAACATCAATAAAGTGCCAAATAATCATACTTAACTCATTAAATATCGAAATTAGAAGAAAAGTGCACTATTTTTAATGATAGGAAATGCATTTTACTAAGGTACATAAACTCTTGGTATTGACTGTATAGCCAATACATCCTTAAATAAAATACATAGACAGTGAATTAGACAAATGATGATTGCATCAACTTGTACCGGATGATATCAATGATACAAACAGAAATGTGACATCGATTTCAGCGATTGGAGAACTGGTAACAAATTCCTGGCGGTCACGAATCGAGAGGATTTCCTCCTTTTTTTTTTTTAATGCACCCCGGGTTCAATCTCCTCCCGTCGGCTTATCGCACGGTCCTTTGTTATCGGGATCTACTTTGCTCAGCGTTCTATAGATCATTTTCCCTATATATTTCTCTCTTTCCGTTCTCTCTATTTTCTTTCTATTCTCCGCTTCCGGCCCGAGCTTTATCGCGTCGTACTCTCCCGTTCCCTCTCTTTCTCGCCCCCTTTTAACTCTTTCATCGATCAAACGATAACTACCCCCTCGTCCACCCGCATGCACACACGTACACACACACACACACACACACACATACGCGCGCGCGTTTCTATGTAGCTGCAAGCCTTGAAAACGGAAGTCCCGGGATGGAGATGAAAAAGAGGAATAACTTCCGGCTGAAGCCTTCCCCGGGTGAAAAAGAGGGTCGGGAATAATGGGAACCCGCGAGTGCAAAGTGTTTCTCGCGCTAATTTCGGTGGATGATAAAAAGGTTGCCCGGCTTTTGAACATTTGCGGATGGTAACGTTGTACCCCACCCGTCCACTTTTCTCAAATTCATTCTGCCCTCCTCGACGAACGGATTATTATAATACTTTCTCGCGACTCGTTACGAGTTTTATTAGATCCGGACTCGTAACTGGACGAGAATCGCGAACCGAAACCAGTCCCGATAAAAACTTCTATTTCCAAGAGATTCGACGCAACCCCGTTCCCACCCCCGGAATCGCGACACAGAGGGAGGGTATCGCAAGAAATACAAATATTCGAGTCTCGGACGAGGCAAGAAATACGGACGCGAGGAATCGCTAGGCAACAACAAGAAGAAGACGTAAGCGACGGGGGGGAGGGGAGGTTGGGCTAGAATGTAACGTAAAGACTCTCCGAGCGAGGGTAAGAAGCGGGTGCGGGGGATGAGCACGCGGAAAGTTTTCGACTGTTTGCGCTAGTGGAGGAGGGCTGCAACGGCGCGGCGGCGGATAGACGGAATTTACGGACGGAATAAAATGACCACTTTCTCAAGCAAAATACACACGTAGTGAACGGGCGAGAGGGAGAGAGAGAGAGAGAGAGAGAAAGGGAAGGGCGCACGGGGGTGGATCGGGGGACGAGGGGGAGGGGTTGCAGGAAAAATTCCGGCAATAAGCATAGCTGGACCGGGGCCAACCGCGTTTCTCCCCCCTCGTCGGTCGCTTCCTTTTTATCATACATACGTTGCCTTTATAGCGGCCTCGGGACACTTGATTGACTGTATTGTCGTTAAATTAACGACCGGCGTAAATATCGTGCCGCGCCGGTGAACGAAGCTAATTTTATTGCCGCGGAACGACCGCCCTCCCGTTTCTAAAGTGCATGCAAATCCGTTCAAAGACGCGCGAGCTCCTATCCCTCCCATTCTTATTATCTCTTATTTTCTATCGTTGCCTCGCGCCGGTTTCCGAGGGACGAACAGCGGTTTTCTCGCCCCGGGTGCCTCCGTTGCCAAAGACAATGGTAGCGGGTTGTCGCGATCCCTCCTGGATAAAAGTCCGTTTCGGGGGAAGCAAACAAAATTTTTAGTTTTTAATCGTTGTCCGCGTTCATTTAATCCCTCGCAAAATGTTAGCTTCGGTTGAATATTCAAGGGAGGATAAGAGCACTTTTATCTTCTTTGTTAACTCGTTTCAATGCAGATGCACGGGAATGTGAAATAGGAACTTGTACACTTTATTCTTCCTCGGTTGCCTTTCGCTGTAATCTTATTGTAACGTGTATGATAAAATGTGAAAAAAATATGGAATCCTCGATCTTTGCCCTTAAAATTTAAACATTTCATCATTTCTTACAACTTTTATTTTTTTATCCATTCATTTTTTCATTTTTTAAATAGCTGAAAATACTAATTAATTATGTTATTCATACTTTGAGTAGATGTTGGAAATGCTGAATCATTCGAAGCTGCACGTTTAACCCTTTCGCTACTACGAGCGACTACAGCCGTTCAGCGCGAGTACCGCGGCGGAGAACCCGCCCGTAGCGAAAGGGTTAAGCAAAACTAAACGAACTTCAAATATTTAGCGCAAACTATAGTCGGCATCAATTATACATATCAAATATATAATTATAATCGACAATGTGCACACTTTTCGACGTGGTGCCCCGTGCAATGAGACTACTTCGGCGGAGCGGACTGCCGTAGCGAAAGGGTTAAGTTATGATTTTGCATGGCATGATGTTGCAGGCCCGCCACCGGTGCACCAGCTCATAAGGAACGACAAGACTGAAAAGCCACCGACGGTTTCCGTTTCGAGCGCTCCGACGTTCTCACCGGTGCTCAGGCCCGAGGACGGTCACCGTGGAATGGATTCTCCGCACTCGCAGACGGGTATGTGCCACGAACGAAAACGTAACGTCTTCTCTATTTACGAAATTCATCATTTCTCTCTAAGATCGCGATCACCTAATATCCTAAATGAAGATTTGCTACAGCGCTCCAAACGGGGGATCTTTCGTGCTTTTTAAAATATTTTTGACAACAACAATTTGTATTTAAACGATTAACAGTCTCGCGTTTTCATGATTAGTCGTGAAAGATTTCTGAGAGAGATTTTTATTTTTCTATATCGATTAAAATGTTACAAGTGTAGTTTTGATTTTTGCTATCAGACTTTCACAATTTTGTCTTATATGCGTTTAGATTAC